AGGGCCCCTCCGCGCGCTGCCCCCGCCGCGGCGCCTGGCCCGCCTGGAGCTCCTCGCCGAGGGGCCGCACTGCGCCGTGCCCGAGCTCATGTAAGTGCCCGGCCCCGGGCCCTCGACCACCACCCCGAGCCCGGCCCTGGCCTTCAGCCCGGCCTCACCCGCTCCCTCGCCCCGCAGAGCCACGACGAAGCGCGGACAGACGGTGTGTCTGAGCCCCGCCGCGCCCTGGGTCAAGCTGATGCTCACCAGGCTCCTCAGCAGGTACCTGCGAGGCCGGGGCTGCTTCTGTGCGGGGCTGGGAGGAAGGGCCAGGCTGCAGCCCACGCTGACCGAGCCCGTTTGGAGGCCAGGAGTAGCTTCTGGATGGGTTTGAAGCCAGTGTGGGTTTCTATGGGGAAAACTATTGAGTTAAGCCAGAAACTTGTGGAAGATGAAGCTTCGCTGTGGAGAAGAGAAACCTTTGGGTTCAGGTAGAGTATCCACAGCAAATGCCTGATGAAACGTAGTCTGGTCCACCATCACCATCAGGCATCTTTTCCAGAAGACACATCTCCTATGGGACTTACTATCTGCAGCATGCAAGGGAACTTACTGAGTATTTCTTTAATGGCTTTAGAATTTGAATTCTGTCTCTTGCAGCTCACGTAACCAGCTCTGAGGGAAGAAACATCTCCAACAGAAGCTACCTGTGTTTGCCAGAGTATAGCAGGAAATGGATGCTGGAAGAAGATAACAGCCCAGCTGCCTAGTTTTGTTGAGCTCGTAGACCAGAAAATGATCTACAAAATGGTCTGTGCTCAATCCCTCTGAGACCCTCTCCTCCCCTCGTATTTATTTTTGCCTCTTCCTATGTATGTATCCATTCCCTGAGCTAAAGTGATTGAATCTGTTTGATGGAGGCTTTGCTAGGCACCTCTCAGTGACCTCACTGCTGTTCTCATAATTTGAGCAGTCCCACATTTGTGCAAGCTTTCCCTCCAAATGCTGTTTGCCCACAAGTTCTTACAAATAGCATTAATATCCGAAAAGAAGACAGGTACCTCATGGAGATGGTTGTGCAGATGTCTGCAGACAGTATGACACATGAAGGTTCCAATGGATTGAGGTGATGATAGTAGGGAGTCCTTCCATCAGGAGTAACAACATTGCTGATGGGCACTTGGAATTTTACATTACTTAGCACATCACATGTAACTTTTATTATTTTTTTTTTTAATTTATGCACCAGATGTAAAGGAACAGTAAATGTTCTGAAGAGGCTTAGATATTTTATGTCTACTGGTATGACATACTGTCATAATTCATGTAGGATAAGTAATTTTCCTTATTCTGCTTTGGAAAATTTTATTTATGTAAAAAGGTGGATTTATCATGAGATGATAATGTAATAGGATGCAGCACAATAAAAATAAAATACTCTTTTGTTGAAAAATATACTGGGATTTTGGTGAGTTCAATGTAAAGATGGACCTGCACACCTGCATCAGTGTGCCTGGCTGGGAAGCAGTAACCTCTGAGGGTGTCCAGGGCACACCTGTGGCCCATCTCTCCTGGAGGTGGAACTTTGTACTGCTCTTGGATTCAGAGGCACACTCTTTAAACTCCTGACTTGGAGCTGCAGATGTGAAGAGAGATTGACCCCAGGGTGAATGTGTTGAATTCAAGTAAGCCCTGCAACCTGCAGGAACCTGTGTTCTGCTTTAACTAATAGTGGGGCTGTGTTTAAAGTTAAACAAGCTTTGCTGGATGGGAAGAAGCAACAGTTTCTGATGTGGTAAGAAACTGTGACAGTTTACAACAGTAAATTTTTTTTTGCAGAAAAATAACTTAAGATCCCAGCTGTAACCATGACCCCTAACTCCTTTTTTAAAGCAAAGAATCCCCACCTGTAAATTCTTTTTTAGTGCATATTTCCAGTGCAAGCAGTATCTTCAGTCACTAGGTATATAGTACCTAGTGGCAGAAAAAGCAATTGCTCTTTGCTTACGAAATTCAGCAAAACATCTGAAGGTAGAACCACATCCTGGCCTTATTGACACGACTGAGAGACCTAGACTGTTCTCCTGGGCTAGACAAGGTAGTTGTGGCTGAGCGGTGAAGGTGATGGACTAGAAATCCACTGGGGTTTCCCCACACAGATTTGAATCCTGCCAACTACGGGGTGCAGTTGTTTCCTTTTGTTCTTTGCATCCTGGCCTGCATCAGGAATAGAGTGACCAGCAGGAGCAGGGAGATGATCGTGCCCCTCTACTGGGCACTGGTGAGGCTGCACCTCAAGTCCTGTGTGCAGTTCTGGGCCCCTCACTACAAGAAGGACATCGAGGGGCTGGAGCTACCAAGCTGGGGAAGGGCCTGGAGAACAAGCCATACAAGGAACTGAAGAGGGAACTGGGGTTGTTTAGTTTGGAGATGAGGAGGCTGAGGGGAGACTTCATTGCCCTCTACAGATACCTGAAAGGAGGTTGTAGTGAGGTGGGTGTTGGCCTCTTCTCCCGAGTGAATAATGACAGGACCAGAGGAAATGGCCTGAAGTTGTACCAGGGGAGGTTTAGATTGAGTATTAGGAAGAGTTTATACTGAAAGAGTGGTCAGGCACTGGAACAGCCTGTCCAGGGAGGAGGTGGAGTCACCATCCTTGGAGGTGTTCAAGAAATATGTAGACGTGGCACTTCAGGGCATGGTCTAGTGGCTGAGATGGGGGTTTTTTTTGTGGGTGCTTTTTGGTGGAGTGTGTGTGGTTGTTTGCATGGGGTTTCTTTGGGGGGAGTTGATGGTTGGATCTAGGAGGTCCTTTCCAACCATGATGATTCTGTGATTCTGTGACATCTGAAGAAAGCTGGCTCATCCTCATCACACAGACCAGCTTTGCTTTGAGGGAAATCATTGGAAAGCAAATTCATACAAAGAAGGATTTTCCTTGTTCATTTATTTCTTTGTCTTTACCCTGCAAGTGACTGGATGTTACTTTTTTGAGTTGTGGACATAGAGAAAAATATCTTTACAGCTGCCTAAAACCTTCTGCCTGATATTCAGGTCAGCTGAAGCAGCTGCAACTCAAATTGATTTCCTTCGTACTTCTAAAATATATATAAAAGAGAGGCATAAAGAAAATCTTAAGGTCTTAACAATGTAAAGAGGGGGAAAAGATAAACATCAAGTTTTATCTTCATTCAAAATGGTAAAAATCTTACATCATTCAGGAACACAGCTATGTAACTCAAATTGTAACGTGAATGCAGATTTTTTAAAAAGCATTATTTCTCCCAGAACAGCTCATTTTATACTGGGAACTGCCTGCTGCACATCAATGACTGGGACTGAAAGACTACTACAACCACTTTCCCCCAGGAGCTGAAAGATGTCATTTACCTCCTGGAATAGATGCTTATTTTATATGTTATTTTTGAAAACTACAGATCAGTGAAAACTGCTACATTCTTCCCTCCTGCTCTATGTCATATATTTTTCTTTGCATGCCAGTTAATCAACTAATCAGTAATGGAGTATCTTCTTGTGCAACTCTGGAATTTTTATGAACATTGGTTCATCATGGAAGTTTATTGCCCAGCAAGAAATGCTAGTAAAACAAGACACATCAAAAGCCTCTCAAGAATTTAAAATCCTCATGGGACTTAGGACTTTCCGTCATCAGTTTATTTGAAATTCTCAAAATACTAAGCATGAAGAAAGTCCAGCTTGACACTACCCTTAGAGCTTCAGATAAAAGCCAATAGGTAGTCAAATGGACACAGTCACATTAAGCTTATTGTTGCAACTTAAAACTGGATTTAACCCTTGGAACCCCTTATGCCTTTTACTGGCACGAAGAGTGGAACTGCACAGAAAGTTTCCATGTAAAGTTCAGACTTTGAGGGATTATCATAGTAACCTTTGTGCTGTACAGTAATAAACCTGATGATCTGAAAAATATTTATAAGATATTTAGAGGAATAGATAGGAAGTTGCTTTGCTCTCCACAGCTGTATACTGTAGAAGCAGAAAGGTTTTCATGGAGAAAATAGAAATTGCTTACTCTAAAATGTACTCAAAGATGATGACTGTTAGCATCTGAATAACATGTCAGTTGTTTGCAATGACCTCTGTGAAAAGCCAGGAAAATTTCTTGAGACATACACTCCCATTTAGTATTAAAAACAGAGGAACACCTGCTTCTGCAAAGACACTGCCAAGCATCATGCTCCATGGATACAAGTTCACTATCCTCTTCTCCACAGAAAGAGTGCACTCAAAAACTCACTTGCCAAGCTAGTGACAACTATTATCGGGTGTGGTGTTTTCATTTTTTGCCAGTACTGTTTGATTAAAGGAGCTGAGCACATTGCCAGTGAGGGCGCTGTATTTCAAGGGGCTTCCATACTCAGACCAAGCAAAAAGCAGGTTCTGATGCCCTGCACAGAAATGACTCTGCACACACAGAATAAATAAATAAAAGGAACAGCATGCAGGTTTTCCATGTGAAACATTTGGTGTCATAAATAAAGCTCACCTACTGACTTCAGAGATTTATCCCTAAGGATAAATCTGTCCTTATCATTCCTGACTTGCCAGTCAGCATAAATCCAACTTTTCACCTCAGAATTTCCTTCATACTCTTCCATGCTGGCAGCACAGCCTCCCTTCTGACACCCACACAAAATATGTCATCTCAGTTAAGATGCTGTACTCGCTTCTCATCAGTGGATTGTTGATATAGCTGATATCTATTTTTAGGATGTCTTGCATATATACTTCTATACATTTTATTATATCAGTGACCTTTCAATAGAGTGCTGATTTCCTTTTATTTCCAGAATAACACTGTTGCTGTCATAGTCAGACAATAAATATAATACACTCCACAGGGAGTATTTTTATTTCAACAAACTTGCTAGTCCTCTCTTTCTCATTCAGTATGACTTTTAAATTCCATTTATAATTAAATCAAAAACAAAGTTTCAAAGTGTCCAGTTTGCACAGCAAGAAAAATACAATTATGTGAAGTTTTTTAAAAAAACTACAGGGAAAGCAAATAAATTCAGATCCAGAGAAAAGCACTGACCATGGGCTTGCTTTTAAAAGGCCTATTTGTTCTTTGTCAAACCATGTTCATGTAACACAGCAGATTTTCTAACTTTTACCTGCACTTTCATTTTGACCAGCATTTTCTGCTTGCCAGGGACACTGCGCTCCTTAAACTAGATTTTTACTACTGTACCATCATGTAAAATGGACCCGTTTTCATTTTACACTTAACACCACCATTTTGACACATTTCTTTTTAAGTTTT